TATAAATAAAACCTTCAGACATATTAAGGTGAAGTAGAATGGTGTGATTATTGATTCTACTGGATAATAGTATTATACATCCCACTGTAGAAGCCTTATAACTTGGTTGAAAAAATAATGTTATAAATTATGTTTATATAAATAAAAATGAAACAGTAGATGGATATTTCAATAAAATGAGTGTTCTATCTGTCTTGAGGACATACAACAACCTAGAATCTGCACACACTTTACATCCTAGAGCAGAAAGCCTGCAACTAAAGACAGTGAAACTATATGGAAGGCAAAATACTGTTAAAGGAAAGAAAATATTATCAATGATATCCACATTTTGTTCAGGTTCCAACTGTTGCGCTTTCCAAAACACTGTCTACATTTTTGTCTAAACACATGTAAGCTGGTAAAAGTCATGTAAACAGTTTGTGTACGTTATATGATGAGCGGCAGAGTTGCAACAGCTCTGGCTATGATATAGAAAGCTGTCACGCTACTTACTTCAATTATTTCTTCAGAAAAGTTGTTATTCACATTGAAACATTGGTCAAGCCATGAGTCTGATGATCTGTGCATTAAAACAAGTAGTTAATTCCTCACTGGTTAAGAACACAAGCCCTGGAACCAGATTGTTGGAATCAAATCCTGGCTTCATCATATCTTCATGACTTCTTCTATTTCCTCATCTGTAAAAGAGAAATAATAATGCTACCTCTGTCCTGTGATTATCGTGAAAAATAAATTAATTAATACACACAAAGTGCTTAAAATAGTCATTGGTACACAGTAGACAATGCATGTGCTGGTTGTTATTACTATTTTCAATAAGCAATTTTTAACTTCTGACAAATACATTATAAACTATTTCCCAGTGAGTGTTTGAGCTGCATGCATTATAGGGGAAAATGAGAGAGAAATAAATAACGGTAATCAAAAATTGATACAATAATACTCCCTGTAACAGATTTCAGATGAAAAATGCTTATTCTTTGCCAACAATGTCTCATCAGCATCAGGAGAGACACATAATCCAGTTTAAACCGACAAAACGAATTTATCTAAACCAGATGCCTCTCAGAATTTTAAAAAAAAAATTAAATAAATTTTTCAGATTTAATAATGAGGTTTTTTTCAGTTTTAGCAACTTTTGCTAAGAAGCTCAGAGACATTCCAAATATTCTAATTAACTTTTGACATATCCAGTGAAATGAGAAGCAATTGCTATTTCTGCTTTAAAATATATATTATTTAGAGTGATTTAGCAGGCTAGCTGAGACGGCATGATCTAGAAATGCAAAAACACTCAGACTGTCATTCACATAGTCTGCTCGGTCTTTTACAATTTATGATAATTTTCCATGAAGTATAATCCTATTTTTAAGAATTATTAAAATGTGTGTCATAAACGTGAAAAAATTCTGTTGAAAAAGAATACATGTAATTTAACTACTCCCAAAATGCTACTTTTTGATCCAACAAAAAAAAAATCAACATTACTGGGCATGGCCTGACAGTGGATGGAACTCAGGAGACAGGAGCAAACAGCCCTCAATTCTTTACTGGTCCTTTCATTAAACAACTGTGACCTTCTCTGTGTCACTAAGAGGTTGGTCTAGAGAGTAGAACTTGAGGGTTGAAGGATCCTTAAAAGAAACTCTCTTAAGCATGAAGTTCTCTCTCTAAGTGTCCAGTGGCGGAAAACTCACTGTATTCTAAGGTGCTCGAGTTGTCTACAAATATTTCTAACTATTAAAAAAAAATTATTCCTTAGCATACTTTTGGTCTTCCTGTGAAATCTAAGGTCCTTAGCATGCCAAGTAACCTACAACTCTAAATGTGGAATACAAACAGAGCCCCACTACAGCAAACATTATAAATGATGAACAAGAACTTAAAATGAAAGCCAGAGGGGTGCTCTTCTTTGACCCATTACATTTACCATTGTTAGGCTGGGGCAAGCAGAGCAAGAGGTCAAAAGACTTTACAATGGTTCCTAGACCTTCAATTTGACCAAGTCCCCTACCGAGTAACAGTTTTCTTACAGAGAGAAGGTTCTAGCCTCCCCGTTTCAAAGGTGTCCATACCAACTAGATTTCTCATGTAGCTCCTTGAGGAGGTCAGGCCTAGAACAAACTTTACTCCAAGATGGAAGAAGTGGAATTTATTGGATTTAAATAAATAACCTCCTCCACTCCATAGAGCAGTATTCCTTAAAGTGTAGTATAAAGAACATGCTGGCTTAGGAAACATTTTGTTACCAAGCTGTGACAAGATAAGGAAAAAAACTGAGAGTAAGAGTTCAGAAATGTTGCAGCTGTTGAATATTATGGTGGCACTGAGCTCTTGATCTCTCTTCTCCTGTGAGCACTGTTGAGTGCTCACACGGTGGGTCACGTGTGGTCTGACCTGCATCCTAGTCATGCACAGTAGGACTGTGGCAAGGTCGGCCATGGATTGAACATTTCATAGATTTCAGATAATTTGAGAACCACACCTGGTAGGAACTGCATAACAGCTGCATAGATTTAGAGTAGAATCTTTCTATCCCCTTCCAGGCCCTTCAATTCCCTGGATGCCTTAAAGCAGGGGTCCCCAACCTATGGTGAGTTGTGTACATTATATATTACAATGTAATAATAATAGAAATAAAGTGCACAATAAATGTAATGTGCTTGAATCATCCTGAAACCATCCACCCATCCCCGGTTCATGGAAAAATTGACTTCCATGAAAACTGGCCCTGGTGCCAAAAAGGTTGGGGAGCCCTGCCTTAAAGGACTCCCCGTACTTTGTCCATTTGCCAAGGTTAAACTGGCCAATTACTTTGGTTGGTTCATGATTTTCATAAACCAAAAATCCAGTCTTCTATTTACAGCATTCATTTTAATAAAATTTAAATATGGTGAAAAAAATAAATGTTTCATGAAATTTTGTTATATGGAGGCTGATTACTATTTTGTATTGACATGAGACTATTAATAGCAAACTGCCTCAGAGAATAATATGAGTCCTTGAATATAAGCTGTATTTTTATATCGTTGATCAAATAAGTTTAAAATCATCCTCAAAAGAATTTAGGCAACATAGACATCCACCTCCCCCAAATCAGCATAGGACAGTGGAAAGAGCATTGAATTAGAAATTGGGGGGTTCTGGAGTCTAGGATGAGCTCTGATATTAATTTGCTTCATGATTTTTTTAAGTCACCAAAACTTCCAGACCAAAACCTTCTCCTCTGTGAAAACAGCAGTGTGAATCAGCTGCTCTCTAAAGTCTCTAACAACTTTAAAATTTTATACTTCAAAGAAAATTATTTTCCCTTAAGGTAGTTTCCTGATGGAGGAATAATTTCCCCAATGGTGCATTTACTGCCAGAAGACAGACTGACCTTCCTGCCCTTGTATGAGTAGCTTTTTATAAGTTATAAGTTTCGCATTATCAGACTTGGCAAGGCTGAAATCATACAACAAATGAGGCACTAACCCTGACCCCCAAAACATACCTTTGTCATGGAGACATGAGCTCTAATTTGCAGACGTCTCTGGGGTTGAGGAGTAACTCACAGGGGCTTCATCATGACAGAATGGGTCCCATAAAATACCAATATCTATAAGGTACTGTTTATTGAGCTGTTATTTGTCTCACAAGACCTTTCTCAGGGGGCTTTTCAAATGCCTAACAATCCAAGATAAAGCCATCTGTCCTCCCCTAACTCATAAAGCCATACAGTATTAACCCAGATCTTAAATAGAGTTAGGAATTGAGTGAGCCCCCAGGAACACTTGAGCATGAATATCCATGATAGAGTTGACTCCACAGGTATTCCATTTATTGCTTATGGCCCAAAATCATGTTTTAAGCTTCTTTGCACTCATGAGATGATACATCTTATGCCTGCCAAGGAATCTGTCTAACGTATGTGAGCACAATGTACATGCATGAGAATTGGGGTTAGCTTAAAAATATCAGTAATTCCCATAACGTCTTTCATCTTTGAAATAAGTGGAGAGGAGTTTGATGCAAATGAAGACAAATTCAGAAAAAAATTGGAAATATATGAAAATTGCCAAGTAAAATGCACAATGTCTAATCATAAATCACTATTTAAAAGAATAAAAAATTCATATCTAAGCAATATGAACATACAGGCAGTATATTCTAATAATCAAAAAGTAAGATAATGAGGTAGTATATTTATGCATAGATGGGTAGATGTATGTATGGATGCATATATTACATAACATACATGTAGTTTATTATTTAACCTATCAGAAAACTGAAGAATATGGGAAAAGGCAAACTTATAGAACACTTTGAAATGGGATATGCAGTTCTCATTGCTGTATTTTAATATGATCACAACTAAAATTGTATATGTAAAAATATAAATACAGTATGAGGAGTTTTCTGGTATGAATTTTAATTTTAAAAGAGCATTTACATTCTAGGTTATTTAGAAAAGAGTAAATGGCAATTTTTGTTTACAAATAAAGCAGAGAAAGACAGTGATTTAACCCAGGGCTTTTCCCAGCAAAGGAATGCTGGATCGAGGATTGAAAACCACATACCTGCAAACAGTAAACAATGCTTGGAAGGAAATGGAGTAATGAATAGAGTCCTGGAGTGAGCTAGTCACCTGGTGGCCCAGTGGGCCATGATGGCTTGGTCTTAAGTGGCCACAGTTCGTTAGGCAAGTGCAATTATTGGTACCAATGTTCTTACTTCCTCCACTGAAAGCAACAAAAAGGCCTTGAGCTAATGTCTTACATGGATCAGTCAAGGTCTCCTTTTCCTCAGTGGCTGCCTCAGTACCTCCAAGTGTTTTCCTGTAGTGAATTGGGCCCTTCTCAGCTACTACACTGAAGCCCAGGGGTCATCCATCTCAGTTCTCTACCTGCAGAGGAAAAATGTCCCTATATTATTTGAACCACTGGGATTTAGGATAGCTTTAGGCCATATTTTTTTCAGCACTCTTCTGCTGGTGGCTGTGCTTTCTTTCCCTGCAGAAATCAAAGATATCCACCTACGAGAAGATGTGGGCTTTCATGAGTAGCAGGCAGCAGACTGCACTGATAAAAAACAGTGACGAGGGCATCCAACGGGTGCTCACCACCGACTATGCCCTGCTGATGGAGTCCACCAGCATTGAGTATGTGACGCAGAGAAACTGCAACCTCACTCAGATTGGGGGCCTCATTGACTCCAAAGGTTATGGAGTGGGAACGCCAATTGGTAAGAGGGGCAGACATCAGCCAAGACTGAGACGGTGAATGATGTCAGTTACAAGCATGGAAGGGAAATGGGTCAGAGTTCTGTATTCCAAATTCTTAGTAGCCCGTGATACCTTTTGTGGACTAAAAATAAGAGATAATTCCATATAGATCAGAGGCATAGTCTGACTTGAAGGTTTTCTGATATTTAACTTAATGTACTTTTAGCCAGTATTTCTTTCTTTCAAGTTTTACCAATACATAACTGTTTAAGAGCATATACATGTTTTTCATTTTATCTCAAAGAAATATCTTAAAGGGAATATCTTTCTCATTAATCCTCTTTACATCATTTTCTTCAATATCTATGTGCTTATGTATTTTTTCTGCATTGAATTATATTAGAATAGAAGAAAATTGACTCTGAAGGTAAGTGCAAAAGTTAAAGGACTAATGTTCCATATCAATAGATGAAAAGGCAAAAGAAAAAGGATAAAGATTACATTATAATTATAATTTGTTCAGGCAATATGTTAGATTCAATCAACTACAACTAGCTAAAAATCACCAAATATTCCTTAATTCTTGTCCACTCCTCTCTCGAGGTATCTGATTGCCTTGTAGGTATCCACACCCATACAGCAATGTCTTCTTGCATGTTTGTAATAGACATGAATAGAATATTCTATGTTCAAGGGCAATTACTGATTCCTTCTCAATAGAAAACTCCCTCTCTACCATTTCCCTCTCTACAGAAAACTGTGTGTATAAGACTCTGGTATAGTGGCAACCAGCTCTTCTCCAGTGAGTCGTTGGTAACCCGATAAACATTCCAATAGATAGGAGCCAGGGATCATCCAGGTCACTGGGCTAGTCCAGAAATAATTACAGTAAAGCCATGAGATTAAGGGCTCAAGGTAGATAGGATTTGCTTTTTTGTATTATTATTTTTGTTGTTTAAAAAGGATTATCCAGTTTGACCATCAATATCAGGCAGGAATCATAAAATGAAATGTTTACAGAGGCAAAGCAGGTATCAAAAGTGAGTAAAGCATGTCTGCACCAGGAGGCAGGAGGGAATGGTGGTAGCTGGAGACCATATGACTTATCTAAAAGAGGCAGCTGCATTTCAGTTCAGACAGTTGCAGACATGTGGGAATTTGAAGCACAAGATTGTCAGATATTCCAATTTTCAAGGAAAATGAAAAAAACAAATCCAGATTATTGGCAAACTGTCCTGATGCTTTTATTTGGCAGCAAAATAATTAAGAAAAAGAGACTATATATCCTATATTCAACTTTTGATTAATACTAATTGAATTCATCGGGTAAAGTTCAACTGTCTTCAACATTTACTGTGAATACACAACCAATCTGATTCCCTATCTATCTGGTGTTAGAAATACACATTATAGGGAAATTAACTTTATTATTATTGTTATCATGTACATCTAAATACATCTTCTGTAGAATGACTGGGCTAGGGGAGCTATAACTACCTTTTGCTCCTTTATTTCCAATAACTTTTCCTAATGGAAAAACCAATATTATTAATAAAGTGCACATTTTCCCCCAAGTGGTAAACTCTCTTATAATTTAATCAACGTGTTCTGCAGGGGGCTGAGTGGGACAGTTAAGCACTAACTAAAAGAACATCATGACCCTTTTTTACTTTAAAAACAATGTCCCATCTCCCTAACCATGTTTTGCCACCTCATTATTATATAGTAGGTGGAAGTTAGACAGATGATAGTTTTATATCTCATCACTGCTGATTTTAGTGAAATGGACCCTAAGTCAGACAAGAACACCAGGAGTGGGTCCCTTTGCCTAAATCTTTGCAGAATCAAGACCCTAAGAATGACTGTAATACAGTCTGCATCTCCTTAGAGGAACAGCCTTGGTTTCTTAATAGAACCATCTCTTAACTAAATTACAAACTAAAAAACTCTCCTTTTACTGTTCCATCTACCATCCCTACCCCCCACCACTTTTCAACACAATTCTTACCACCAAAGTTCTTGTCTAGTAATCATGATAGAAAATAACAATGCGTGCCAATTTTCCTAAAAACATTCCCACTTTAACGTGAGACTTTGAATTGGCATTCCTTCTGCAGAATGGAATATAACTCAAAAGTTAAAATTTCTGAGAGCATGGTGAGGAACCTAGAGTTGAAGCGCAGGAGAGGACAATGGAGGACAATGTACTTCTTTCTGCAACTCTCCTAAATGAGCGCAGCACTTTGAAAATCACTGCCTGCTGCAGGTGAATGAGGTTGACCTACTGTCTAGTGTCACTACATTTTATAGAGAGGATAGAAAGATATCTGAATGTTCGTGTTCATTCTTTTTTGCCAACCTCACCCAAGTTCCAAAGTTAAAGAGCCTTTCCCCCACATCCTAGATGAAAAGAAATACATTTCAGGGATTTTTCATAGTGGTTATAAACCTGTCATGCTTTTATACCAAAAACAATGAAGGAATAATTGAAACAGATGGCAGACCTCAGAGAGAATACATCCATTGGGAATACAGCTGTTGGAAAAAATTGTGAGATGTTTCCTCTATGATGAATTGACTCTTTAAGAAAGATCAGTTGCTATTTAGGAAGATCTGTGGATGTACATGTATATTTTTTCAAGTGACATAATAAATCACTTCTGATGTTATTCGGTCCATTTAAGCAACAACAACAAAAATTGAAGCTAAAATACATCCAGATATTTCAAATTCTCTGCACGGTTCTAGTCTTGCCCTGACTGAATGCCTTAAGGCTTCACACTCTGTTCCATGGTCAAAGATTGGCAAAGTTGGACCAGTCACAACACAAAGTTAAAGACATTCCTTCTTAGAGACACTCAGGACAGAAGTTCTGGAAATGTACCTCCTGAGGGACTTAAAATAAAACTCCAGGAGAATGAGAGCAATTAAGATTTAAACAGGTTACCAGGAGGCTGGAAATTACCTTTCTTAGAGACCAACTTTAAACAGAGATCAGAGTCCCATCTGTCTGAAGTGTTTTAGGTATTGTGCAGCCTGAAGGCAGAGGGAGAGTGTCAGTCAGCATTTATAGAGTGTCCACTGTGTATACTGCTATGATTACTACTGCAACCACTAACATAAGAATCATTCTATACTCTTCAAAGCACTTGCATGTACATTAAAGCAAAGTGCTCCTGGTTTACTTAATTGCTCACCTGCTATGGGTATATTAACAGTGCTAATTTTGACACTAGCCATTATTCAGGGGATGTTTAAGCAAATAGCCAATATCTTTTAATTTATCTTACAAGACCCATTTTGTTTTTCAAGACCCATTTTTTTTTCATCAAAAATCCATACTCTTAACTAACAAGCTGTGATCTCACTCCAAAGTGTTATGTTTCTCTTTTAACTTGATTTTAAGTGCTGACAATGATTTTAGAAAGTTTTAGGAGGAAAATAAATGACTGGTGTCATAAATGTTAACTCTTTGATTTTCTAACTTAAACTGTGCCATGAGAAAAAAGGCACATGTGGGAATGGGAGAGGTGGTATGGAAACACGTTCATGAAAATAACACTGAGAACTAAGAAATTAGGAGAATTGAGATTGACTCTTATCTCTGTCAGTAACTATTAGCTTCACTCATAGTTTCAGGTCCTAAATTTTTCAATTCTAAAACAAGTGGACTGGACTATATCATTTCTAATATTTCGTCTAGTCCTAAAATATCTCATTTATCAATTTGCCTCCACCAAAAAAGACTTTAAAGTTTGCAAATACAAAGAGCCAGAGTGTACTACTTTCCTACTAAGCATAAGAAGTGCTAACAAAAATTCTTAGCATGTAAGGAGAAATTGAATAAAAGAATCTTACTTTGTCTCTTCCCTTGCATTGATTAACAGGAATCCAGAATTGAGAAGCTATGCCTCCAAATAGATTTTGGCACTCTCCAACCCTTACATAATTAAAAGTTCAATAACATTACTAGAAGATAGAGTATACATAATATCAATAAAGTCCTTGCAAATTTTCCAAACCTAACTGAACTTTGTAGGACCTTTGAATTATTCAAAACCTACTCTTAAGTTCATCTTAATAGATGCATGAATCAGTGTGGATTAATAGCTATAACCAAGTTCTACACATTTTCAGTCATTTTACATAGTAAATGCTGATCGTGTCATAGTCCGGTGTGGATTGAAAGAGAGTCTCTGCTTCATGCAGTCATCTTGGGTCTCTCGTTTCTTCTATCTTGTAGTTCCACCAACCCTAGGGACTTGAAATCATTTTTCTCTTGCTGTGTATTTTGGCAAAGAGAAAGAGAAAGAGCAGAAGATCAAGATAGAAAGATTTATGGCATAAGACTGGAAATGTCAAAAATCTCCTTAGCTCCCATTGGCTAGAATTCAATCATGTGACCACACTGAACTCTAAGGGGAGTGGAAAATGTCTAGTTAATCCCCTAGGAAGTAGAGGAGATGGCACTGTTGGTCATCTAGCCATGCTCAGTCACACTATGAGACAACCAAAGTCCTAGAAAAAGTAGAATATAAACAAAGAAATTTTTTGACGTAGGAAAAGACTCCTGACAAACTCAGCAGAAACAGAGCTATGTCACAGAACTCCTGATTTAGTTTTCCTTATTTAAAAGAAGCCAACTGTCTGGGTTAATCTCAATATGTAAAGTATGCCTTTTCTAATTATTCAGAGCCTTCAAAACATACAATTGAACTTTCCTGCCCTTTGCTACTTGATTTGTGGATTGGGGTTTCATAAAAACCCTAAAGTGGTTACCGCTAAGACAAAAATACTTTCTGATGCCTTCTTTAACGTTTTCATGACCAATGACTTCACTCTCAGGCTCTCCTTACCGGGATAAAATTACGATTGCTATTCTTCAACTGCAAGAAGAAGGCAAGTTGCACATGATGAAAGAGAAGTGGTGGCGTGGGAATGGCTGCCCTGAGGAAGACAACAAAGAGGCCAGTGCTCTGGGAGTAGAAAATATTGGGGGCATCTTCATTGTTCTGGCTGCTGGACTGGTCCTTTCTGTATTTGTAGCTATTGGAGAATTTATATACAAATCACGGAAGAACAATGATATTGAACAGGTGAGTCATCTCTTTCTAGGACTGGGTAGTTTTTAGTTTGCATCATCTATTTTAAATTTGGAGGTTTTAAGGACTTTTTTTTTTAACGGTCTATTGAATTAGATGCCCAGAGGAGCCATTTTTGAGTTAGAGCAAAGAGCTATTGAATCCCTGCCAGGTGCTGTGGGCACTGCAGCTCCATCATTTATTAATGATAAGGAAGAGCCTATACACTAAATCCAATTAGCACTATTTGGAATGACAGTGCAGAAATTCCAAACTCAGTTAATTTCTCGAACAGTTATTTGCTCTTAAGATAGAAACCCTAAATGGAGCAAGGAGGAAATAAATCCAAAATTGGAAAAGGTATAAAAAAGTATTTGAGAGAAATGTCACCAGCCCTTAAGTATACACTCTGAGCACATATACTAATGCAAAACAATTTCTATAATGATATAAAAGTAGTATTATGAAATTGAGCATTTACTTTTACCAAAGTATAATTTGTAAAAGTGTAATTCACTTCAAATATTTTTCACTAGCAATATGATAAACAATACAAAATGACAATAAAATATATTTGAGACTTTATTTTTCAAAACCATATTTAAAATTATAGGGTAATTTCAACAGTTGACTATTTTTGTCTATTGTTTTTATTTTTGAAAGAAATCACACCAAGAACTTACACTCTTTCAAAAAAGCTGATTGTTATTTAAGATGATCCCTTTATAACTATACTAGAATAAACAAAGTGCAAAGCTCACGGCCATTGCAGTACCTTAGGCTACCCATTCAATTTAAATATATTAGAATTTTTGACACTCTGGACTATTAATAACAGAGCCAATTTAATGCTCTGCTGTCATCTTGAAATTTGAATTTTTTTTTTTAAATAAAGGATCCCACATTTTCATTTTACACTGTGCACTGCAAATTTTGTGGCTGGTTCTGATTAATAATCTGATGTTAGATCTACTTCCGTTAAATGGAAGTCCTCCTTAAGTACCCAAAACTGGGGATGATTTATTATAACCTGGTTTTACATGAAAATCTTCCCCAGAATCACAAAGCCATTATTAGACCAGTGCAGTACCCCTTTCGTAGACTTTGTTGTAGAAAACTGTCTTTAATGAAAAGGGAGAATGGACTGATCTGCTTTGTTTTAACTTTCAATTTGCCCTCGAGGTGTCTTGTTTTATGCAACCAATTTGAAAAATAAAAGCTTGTATATGTTATGCTTTAATGTGCTTCTCATAGTTGCCACCTTCATGTGATTTAAATTTTCATTTAAACATTCATTCTTGCTTCTGATTTATTCATTTTTCTATATTTTTTTTCTCATTTCTTTTGCATGCAAGGCATTTTGTTTCTTTTATGGACTGCAGTGTAAGCAAACCCATCCAACCAACTCCACTTCTGGAACTACTTTATCTACGGATTTAGAATGTGGCAAATTAATTCGCGAGGAGAGAGGGATTCGGACACAGTCCTCAGTTCATACTGTGTAATCAGTTTTTTTTTAAAAAAAAGTGTGCCCAGTAGAAACTGTTTCTGCTAATTGATATTGTTGATGATATCTATATCCTCTAAGCATTAATTGCCATAATTCCCTATTCCTTTAGAATATCAAAATGTACATACTCTAGACATTGACTTCAATGATCTAGAAAAGGATGAGCACTGTTTGTTGAAGCAGGGCATTTAGGGGCATATAGACTCCATATATGTGTATTTATAGAAATCTTCTCTGGCCCAAATAGTCATCTTTGTTATATCTTCATGCATTAAAAATAAGTAACTCTTTCCTCTTGAAAAAGGAGATTCAGACTTCCAGCAGTGAAAAGCATGACAACAAAATGCTAATTTCATAGGCTTCTTTTCATCCCGGTGAACTTTTCCCCCTCCTCTTTCTTTCTCCCTGTCTCATACGTTGTGTAGGTTTAGACATTTTCATTCTACCTGAAACCCTTATGTTTTCAGTAAGTACATAATAACTCCATAACAATGTTAATTTTAATTCAAATTGATTCTACTACAGAAAATGTATTATTTGCACAAAGACTCAAAGGTACCCTAGATTTTAAAGATTCAAAAACTATGATCCAGAGAAAGAAAACTAAACTTGCAATCTCTGGTGTCACAGGAAAGCATTAGCTAGGTTGAACATCACTCATGGACACAGAACACAATCAAGAATGATTCTTGGGCAGAAATGCATTAACATCAAACTCCCAGGTAACATTTACTTCGAGAATTTAACAATCCTCTGTAGGTTTAGAGTCTCTAAATACTATGATTTTTTTCAAGCCATATTTCTTTGAAGATCCAGGCAAAGTCCTAACCTATGAATTAATTTTTAGCATTTTCTATGTAGCACTCATTCCCCCACTGTCATTGCGTTGATGAACATCTTTCCATGAGATGTTATTGCATTTCCTTCCCACTCACCCAGGATAGAGTGGTTGGTCTTAGAGCAATCTTTTCTCAACATTGCCACATTCACACTCATTTCTCCGGGCCCATCACCATTATTAATTTCATTCTAAGTATGTTGGGGAGAAGAGCAAGAAGAAAAAAAAAATAAAGAATTTCCATACTTACTAGTTACAGATCTCTGTAGATTTATTTTCCACCTGCTTTCAAAGTGCTGTAAATAATTCCCTCTCTAACTCAACTTGGTGACATAGAAAGCCATCGGCATACTTAATTTGTTGTGCCAGAGAATATCTGCTGGTTCCTCTGGGCCTGTTTCCCCTTCACAGTGAATAGGGGAATTGAGGATGCATTTTATCTTCCCTCAATATGGGATCAGTTAGTCTTTGTTCTCCTTAAGGAGATTACCTTTTGACATATCAAGTGATCCCCTAAAACACATTTCCTCAGGAGTACAGATATGCCATCCGTGTAGTCATGTAGTACTCTGGCTTCTCTCTTCTTAGCTTTAAATGGGCCCCAGTTTTTAATCACAAGTCTCTTCAATCAACTCTATATTTCACCAATAAAGTGTGTTTAGGAAAGTTGACTCTTGCCCTGATTGTTTCTCAGCCTTGCTTCCTTATTTAAATAAATGTACTCTTAAGAGAATATCTATAAATTGCACTAACAACTTTTACTGTTATTAAGATAGAAGCAACATGCTATTTGTCCCAGGTCAGAGGTAACATATCAGATGTCAGGATAAATATCACATTATTCTTAGTTTCATATTTCCTTGATTTGCTACGTAGAAACTACAAATTATATAAGTTTACTTTCCCAGAGACTGTTTAATAAAACAAAAGTGCTACCAAAAAGTTCAAGGGTAACTGATGAAATATAGACAATCCGGGTTAACAGAAACTAACAAAACTTGCCTTTCTACAGAGATCATCCTTTCAAAGTATAATTCAGAGATTTGGATAAAGAAATGATCCCCTTCTAAAATTAATATTCATATACTACTTTAGACTGTATACTACCCTAAATCTGATATTTATATACTATTTTATAATTTTCAAAATGTTTTCACTTACAGCAAAATGTTTTCACATTACATTTGATCTTTTCAACACTTCTACTATATATCCTTACTATCAGAGAAGTAGATATCAGATTCAGTTGCCTGGAGTCATAGATTTTAGAATTAAAAGAGAATTTTCTAAATCAACTAAACTTAGGTTCAATTTCTAGTAGAGCCACATGCTGAATGACTATAGGCAAGTTACCAAATTTCTAAGAGTCTTGGTTTCTTAATATGTAATACTGGGACAAAATGTCTAGAACATAAAGTTTTGAAGGAGTGTTTTTCAAAATGGGTTCCATTGGCAAGTGTTCCTCAAATAAGATTTTCATGGTTAAATAACACATGGAGTGTCACACTACAAGTTCCTTTAGTACAGTATATTTCAGTGAGTTTAATATGTTGTCTTGCATTGAGAATTTTCAACAAGGTGAAAAAGTATTCAGCATTTCCCAAACCTATTCGATCACAGAATTTTTTTTCCCCAAAGCATCTTGACATATCAGTTTTCATAGATCATACTCTAGGGAACACTAGTATAGCAATATGTATCTCATTCCAAGATAATGTGCAAAATATCTTTCCTTGTATCTGGCAATAGTGGCCACTCAATAAACAATTACTTATGAGTTAGAGTAAATGTATGAGCCTCAATTTCCCATTTGTAAAATTAAGATAATATTATTGACTTTATACATTTATTTTTGATAATTAAATAAAATCATGGCATAGAAAATGAAATTACTTGTAACGATCCTGTTAATAAATAGCAGTTAACAAATGTTGGTTCCTTCAGAACCAACTAAGAATTACTATCTGATATTACTCTGAATTACAACTCTGAATTACTATCTGAGAAACTAAGTATTACTATCTGATCACATGGACAGTACCAAGCATCTTAAACAGAGCCTGGTTTAGAAAACATATTTTCTAATTTAGAAGCTGAAACTCTGTCTCTAAGACTAATTTTTCTTGCATAAGCATTACAGATCAATAGTAAAGGTCAATGCACATGAGAGAAGGACCCCCTAAACTGGCAATACATGAGCATCTATTGTGAAAGTCATGAATCTCATCTCTAGAAATTCTAATTTAATTAATACGGAGTTGGGGCATCACAATAATAGTTTATTCAGATGCTCAGTTGATTCTAATGTGCAGGAAGGGCTAAGAACCATAAGCTAAAGCATAAATTTACATATATAGATGGAACTCAATAAATTGTTGTTGTTTATTAATTGATTGATTCCAGAGATAGAGACACTAGTTCCAAGCAATATATAAAACCCATATTTAGCACTCAATATTCAATAGACCCTTTCTACTGAGAATTCACAAAGCAACCACACATCTTTGAGACATAAATTTCATGGTATTAAATTGATAATCTTCATGTTTAGTTGTAAAACATAGAACTAGCACTACTCAGAATTACCACGTCAACAGTTCATTGCTCTCTCTCTCTGCCGTTCCTTTTCCTAGAGAAACTCCATTCATTTCAGGAACGTAAGTTCCTTACACGCTCCTCTTTCTCAGTTTATACTGACTTTCAGACAACCAGTTCTTGCCATAAATGAATACTAAGGCCACCATGACCCCACCAGGGAGAAAGGCATTTCAAGTGAAATTCAAAATGAAAATGTGAACTTGAAAGAAAAACTTTCAAACTGTGTTTACATCACTAGTTCTCAGACACATCGATGTAAATCATAATCACTTGGGAAACTTACTTAAACTACAGTTTACAGGCTCTACTTCCAGACGTGGTTCCTCAGTAGGAAAAGTCCAGGAATCTATATTTTTAATAAAGCTTGAAAGTGAATGCTTAAAACTTGTTATACATATTAGTTGTCATAAAAATTAGTTTGAATACAGGAGTTTTCTCCAAAACTAGGTCATATATATGAATCTTCCTTAAACGTATTAATATTTCTAATCTGAGAGGTTTTTTTTAATAACTTTTTTCACATGTGGTTTTTTCCAACAATCCTAAATATAGTTGCTTCACTTAAAAGTAATTGGTAAACATGAGTTTTCATTAAAACAAGCTTGAATATAGCAGTTTTGCTAGTTTTACTTCAAATCAGCTGGTTGAACATGAGTTTTTATTAAATGATAGCAGGTTATCTGTGGATTATGCTTTGAGAAATAATGTTTAAGATTAGGAGAAATCAGGGAGGTATTAAAAGATTAAAGTGCATCACATAATATTGTCTAATTTGTCTCCTAATATGTCTGTCTAACCTAATGCAATAAGGGTGAAAAAAGGCCTTATTTTATTTTGCTTTAGGCTAAAATTATAAATTGAATCATTTTAGAGTTTCTCCAGAAAAATGGGAACTACCTAAGGAATGTTTGGTGGGTAGGGATCTTGCCATTAGGAAAATCAGTTGGATCATATAATGATAAACCTACCCTAGGAAAATTATTTCCAAATACCTCACTGCATTTGACTAGCATTATGTTAGGTTCTATCTGAACCATCTGCAGCAATGCAAGACTACAATGAATCCCAATTAGTTTCCAAGCACATGACCCTTATCGTGCAAGGTCTATTTCCTAGTAAGCAATTTAAAAGTAGTCCGAACAGCCTTTAAAGGCAAAAGAAAAGTGAAACATTCTTACTTATTGTACTATTTTCTGCACATCTAACTGTGCCAAATGGCATTATTAATTAACTCTTACAGATAATGAAAAATTTCTGCTTGATGCTGCAGTTTTAACTTGCCTTTAGGAACCATCTCATTATGCTTCTCACAGTTAGGAAATTCTATGTCCAGATGCACAAGCATATTAAAATCATTTTTGCTTTCAAAATCCTCTCCACAGAGACTGATATTGTGGAGAATGGGAGTCTTTAAATTTTTGAAGAATTTCTATTTGCAAAGATAGGGTCATTCTTGTGCTAGAAAGTCAACATCGCAAATGTGGTTTCACACCCTGCAGAATTTAAGTGTTGGTGTTTTCAGATCAAAGGCCATTAGCCAATGGCCTAAACTACACAGCAATGTGACTTCATGTCACAATATACACATCTAGATAGACACAAATAATGAGAAAGACCTAAAGGATGGCATGAAGTTACTGTATTTCTCCCTGGCGATTAAAAATTTTTAATTCAACTTGACCAGGATTGTCTTTCTGCCCAATTTTTCAACAGAATGGCATGTTTAGAATTAAAATATTCAAATATTCTTTTTTCCACTTCAAGCAAGAAGTCTGCCCTGATCACTTAGTCTTTACCAACCGTAAGGACTAAGAAACAACTCTCCGTAGATAACCCACTCAAACTTGGTATTCATCTTTCCTCGATGTCTCTTGGCACATTTTCAGATGCTTCCAAGTATCTTCAGCTGTATTTCTTCTACAGTCTCATCACCTTATTTAGCAAGTGATTTGCAGAAGTCTCTTTAATCAAGTTATTTTTGTAATTGTGCAAAGAGGCTTTCGTTTGCCTAGAAACTAAACATTCATTAATTATCAGAGAAGCCAGGAAGCAATTAACATCCATTTGGAAATAACTTTTCTGGTGCACAAGTTAACATTGTTTTATAAATCAAACAAACTCTGAAAGAGATATGTGGCCCAAAAGACAGGTGACTTGGAAACCACAAGCCAAGAATGCAGGTCTCCATACTGCTGCTAAATGGCTATGTATCTTTGGGCAAGTCATTTCCTTCCCCCAACCTCAGTTTCCTAATCTGTGGAAAGAGGAGATAAAATCTGAAGTTCTCTTCCAATCATGGTATATTTTAAAAAATCTATTAGAAAAGTGGGAAGGAAAAATAAAAATACAGAAGCAGTGATAAAATGTTTTTGTTGTTGATATATTTTTTAATATGGTTTTGTATCTGTCTTGAACGCATTAAATTCTTATTGCAGCAAGAATCACTTTGCCCAGCCAGTACTTCAAGGTAGAAAAGTCTGCCCTGGATATAAAGAAAATGGCCCAACTCCCTTCACAGCACCAAGAAGCAAGAGGTTTCCCATCCAATCATTCATAAGCAAATCATTACAAACTCAGTGAAGGTTACTGAAGTAGAATTGTTCTTGATTTTGATGAGCCTACAGACTAGGCAATAAAAAAATAAAATGAGGTATGTTCCTGGGAAGCTATTCAGAGCTGTAGAACTGATTACATACTCATAATTCAAGAAAGGGGAAGATAAATGGTGTTGGATGCTTCCTATTCTGTAAGTGGAACTTAGTATTTCTTCTAAAGAGAGACAAGGAAAAACAAAGGAAAATAACAGCGTGTGTTTGTTTTTCATTGTTTTTATCCCTACCCTTCTTCCCACCATCAAGCATCAGGGTTTTTATACAAATTGCTCCCAAGCTAGAGATAAGTCAACCTTTTAGCTTTTGAGTTGTAAGTAGTCTTTGCAAATTTGTAGCACAGAAAAAAAAATCTTGAAAACCATAGCTTTCAATTGTTAGATCCAGATGTTTTATTGAATAAATTAGTTGTTTGAGTTTAAAAAAAGTTTATCTACAATTAGCAAGAGCCAAACCCAGAAGGCTAAGGTTGGTGACACACATATGATTATGTTTCCCTACCTCATTTTCCTACCCCAGACTGGATTTTGACCACTAGGAAAGGGAGAATTGGAGGGATGTCACAAAGACCTGGATACTACCAGAATCTCTGACAGGAGGCCATCACTCAGCCAGTGAGCATCCCTGGGCCAAGTCCAAACTTGGGGGGACAGGAAAATAGAAACCCCAGAAAAGTTCAAAGGGAATTCTGAACAGAATATGCCATTGTCACCTTCTCTGGTTATAGCCCAGTAGGTGGTAAAATGTATGTAGAGATATTTTACAGCTAACTGTCTCCTGAACGGCAGAATAGCAGCATCTTGGGCAGTGAGACCATGGAATGCTTTATAGAGTCTTCCTCAATCCCAGAGAATGCCTGGGAAAACACCCCAAAATCCATGGCTCTTCCCACCCAAGAGCCCTGGGCTGAGAGAACCCGTGGACTAGAAGCCTTGAGGTTGGAGCAGAAAAAGCACAGAGTATTCAGACCTGACACACCATGGTGGAGTCACAGCGGAGACAGAAACCAGTGTCCATGACCTAGTAGGATGTCACACCCCAGGGAAGCCAAAATGACAGAAGGTGGCCATGGACCAGCTGCTCCCTGGCCTCTAGACACCTCTCCCAATCCTATATGATTCAAGTACAGGCCTTAGAAAGAAGAGAAGGAGAAGGGAGGTGGGGAGAGGACTGCATTAACTGAGCCATTAACCAAAAAGAAGTATTTTTAAACTAAAACTGAATTACCTTGAGTTGACTAGATCCACTAGCTGATGGGGAACCTCTAAGAGGTGAGTTCTGTTGTTTTAAAGGGAATAATAATAATTTCAGAAATTTTTTTGTACATCCAAGTTCATAGCTTAAGAAAAATGCATACTCACTGCAGTATACATAAGCTCGTACCCCAAAGACTCTACATATAGTGCACACAGGAACTGTGGACAACTAACCACACTACATCAGGGGCAATTTAGCTCAAGGGCAGGGCCATCCCCTATAGGAGAAGAAGCATACAAAGAATTTCTTGGAAGTTTACTTTTATGAATCTAACTCAGCCTCTGACATGTTAAAAGAAACAAGCCTTCTTTATGAGGCGAAGGAAAGCCAATCTCTACAGAATTATCTCAGGCCTTCAGTATAAGAAGCCAGAGAGAAGGCAGAGCGCCAGGGACCGAAGCCACACGGCCTCTGACAGTGACTCCAGGAAGGAGAAAACTCACCGTGTGTGGTTTGGATTGAATGCAAACACACTTTCTGCCACTTTCAGCAAGGAGAGCTGCTTACTTAAGATATAGGAGACCCACCTGACGATTATCCTCACTGCAGAAACATCTCTCTGCTCTCCGGTCACAAGGCTTAAATGGACCAACTTTCATTCTCTTTATACCATCATCCATTTGTGTGTCCTTTCTGGGGCAGGGAAAAGTTTCAGCTGTTCTTGAGCACCCTTAGGGGATATGGGAGATTCATAAGGTGGTCTCAGGCTGTTTTGAAAGTAGCTTCTGCTGACATTTCTCCACTCCAGTGACTGCCTTCTCTGAGAGCCTGAGACAGAGAACAGGGAGCAAGTCTCTTGCAGCTTGAAAGACTGCCGTGTCTTCTATACAGCCACAGAAGTCCATTTAAGAGCTCAAAGCTACAAATTTGACTCTTGTTTTTTTTCCTATATCATCCTTACTGTGAGGGTAATGCATATAAAAAGCTCTTGCTACAACTTGAAAACTGAGAAAAAGGATTGGGATTCAGGTGAATTGAAAGAAAACACATGGATTAATATCAACATATTACATTGCCTCAGTGTTAACACCACTTCTCAAAATTCTCCATGAAATTATCTCCAATGTTAAAGGAGACATAACTGTCACACCCCTACCTTCCAGGAGTTTGCACTGCATAGCCTTGGGCAGCCACCCCGTGTGCAAAATTTCTTTAAGAATCATTTAAAAATAAATAAAAATTCATATGGCTGTGTATGCCATTTTGCAATATATTTATATTTACTTCGATGGTAAGTTTTCTAAATGAAATCTTTACATAAGGAAGAATACCAGAAAGAAGATCCCCATGATTCCAATAACCTTGTGTCCCTTATAAGTATATTTTTGTGGTTTAAGGAGCTCAGATAGGTGAATAAGGAATTCTAGGGCATGCATTCCTGCAAACAGAGAACCTTAAATTTAGGATCTGAGAAGGCAAAGATGTTGGCACCAGGTCCCAGGTATGGGAGCAAAGATGAAATAGGGGAGAACAGAGGACATAGAGGAAGCAAAAACATGACACTAAAGGAGCTAGAAAAAGTGAGTTTGTGGAGTCTCCTTGCTATAGCCAAAGAAAGGGAAGACAGGGGCTTTGAGGAGTTATTACCTATAGGGGCCCAGTTAAAAGCATTTAAAGTGCAGGGAAATGGGCTGGGCAAGTAGTGGCTGCTGGGTCACTGGTGAGGATTAGGGTGGGTGACCACACTTTGAAGTTTTATTTCATTTTTCCCTTTTCTTGGAACTCAGTTTTAAACCTAGATGAAGTTTTATTTCAGTGTCTAGATTTCCTTCACCCCAATATTCTTGGCACAGATCCAGGAGATAAAGACTCAGCTTCCTCATTAGTTCTCTGGCACAAATCAACATAACTCCTATTCTGGAAGCTAATATAGTGATCGACACTCAACCTCCCTGATCCGTGTTTTAACAGTTCCAAGGATGAGTGCATGAGAGATGGCCCAGGGATTCCAAATGAGCCCAGAAAAACAGATCAAACCATAGGAAATGATACCCAAATCCTCATTCCTGGTATATAAGAACTTCCCCAAAGATGGTACACACACAGCTGCTCCAAGAATATCCCTCTACCTATCTTCACATTATTAACGGGGAATGATTGAAGTCTGGACTCTGCTCTTAGGGCATCAATTCTCCTGTGAAAAATTGAAACCTGTGGACAGATAAATGACCAGACTTTCCAAGTCTCTATGTAGCAAACCACTGAATAGTATACCCTGTCCCTATTCCTTAAAATACTTCCTGACTCTAATCCCCAAAACATCCTAGGTTTGCTCCTATGCTAGACTTCAAAGTCAAAACAAGTTAAGGATGTGAGTGCTTAGTCTTTCTTTAAAAAAAAAAATTTGTTGAGACAGTGACTCCATGGAACTATGACAGGGGTCTGATCAATCCAAAGAAATAATAACAGTAATAATAATTTCATTATTTCTCAGGAACCTATGTCCTTAATATTCTATATTTTATTGAAAATGATATTTACAAAAAGACTTCAAATCATAGTTTGTGTTCAAGTTATAGCAAGTCTTTACATAAAATGAAAGGTTTTACATCTATAAAATGACAATAGTATTACCTACATCCTTTTCTTCCATGTGTAATATAAACATTTATTAGACAATGTCACAGAGCTCTTCAAGTATCTTTGAATAAGGGGCTTATTGAAAGGGAGAAACCTATACAAAATATAAAATTTGTATTATATTATTGGCTAGTCCAGAGCTTCTGAAAAATAGCTCGTCAGAAAATTCCTTAAAGGTATGAGCATCTAAAGTGGGTCTCTTAAATGTTCACCCAAACCTAACAATTAATAAAAAACTTGAAGTATAAATGCTAAATCTGCAAGGAGAAATCAATCTGACATTCACAGTCTGATGCCAACTTTTCAACCAGCATGAAAGTCAATTCCAGACAGCCTAGGTTTTTTAATACTGTAAACTCAAATAAAATTCTAGCATAGAGCTTTTCCTATAACTTAAAAAAAAATAAATAAATGTTGTTCTCTTCCCCTGGACCATTTTTCCTGAGGCAGTGTATTTTAGACACAAAACAAAAAGAACTGTATTAGTCCCTCCCACCCTTTCCACGACAACATTTGCAACAAAGGAAGGATAAAGGTGTAAAGAGAAGATATAATTTCTATTCAGGCTCACACTAGCACCAAGAAATCAAATATTTGGGGTTCATTCAAAGGAGGCACTATGCGGTCAACAATTTACAATCAAGAAACAAACCAAAGGGGAAAGAAAAGGAAAGCAAAAGAAGACAGGAGAAGGGAAGGAAAGTGTGGCGGACTTTTCTTTCTGATGGACCCACCGCCGGCACTCAAGAATCAGAGAAGCAGAATGACTTTCTGCAAAACCGAAACAAGCAAATCCTCCTTCTAAAACCAGGCAAGCTACAGTTCTAGTTGAAGATTAATGTCGGTTTCTCAGTTTCCTTTCCTCTAAAAAAGAGGACACACCCACACGTGCACACCAACACACCCCACGTTATGTTTGGATAGAGCCAGGAGCTGCATAAATGGCAATAACATTCTTTATTACTATAAATTTATCTGTAAGTAAATTTTCCTCTCAGACTTAGCATCACAGGGATTCATCATAAAGGAGTTTATAAGTGCAGAGATGTTATTTTTTTTTTTTAATGGCAAGTGACTGCTGTTAGTTTTCATTTCCTTCTGATGTTTGACTACCAGGTAACCTTCATAGAGCACAACACAAGCTGTCATACTGCCTGTTACTACATAAACATGGAAACATGTTATGGACTGGACAAAACAAGTACTAAAAAGCCCTGAAAATTTGTTTTAAGCATGCATAGGATCTATTTTAATTAAAACACTAGTATAAACAACTCAAAGGAATTGCTGCATAGAGGGACATACGATGGCTCACAATAAAGAAGCATCACCTTTTTCATTTTATCTCCCCCATCATCAACAGCAACAAAGTCAGTGAGTGCCATAGAGTTAAATTATTTTCACTGCAGTGTAGAAAATTTTATTTTAAAGAAAGAGCATACTGACAAAGTGCCAGGCATTAGACTAAGTGTTTCACATATACCAGCTCATTGAATTCTCATAATAGTAATATGAAAAAGGATTCCATTATTGTCCCATTTGTTAGGTAAGAAAACTGAGTCAAAGAGAAAATAAACACCTTGCCTACTGTACCCCAGGTACTAAGCAACATGCCTGAAATTAAAACTCTAGCATTCTGATGCCAAGTCAATTCATCCAAATTCAATTTGAATGAATTCCAAACTATAATTAATGGCCTCATGTAGTTCCTTTAAAAATGTGAACTCCATCCACCAGCTATAAATAGGAGGGCTTAGAATCCAAGCTAGTAGGGAAATTTCCAGTCTATAAAGCACCAGAGGATACTACTGGGATATCCTGCCTCTAGTTGCATTGCCTCTGGAGTAAGACAGCTAACTGAATGGCATTATTTTTGATACTTTCTGATGATATTACAGTTTAGGAATTTAAATTTTCATGCTTTAAAATAAAGTTTCCATGGCTCTATGAATACCAAAAGAACCAAGCCTAGAAACAGATGCTTTAGAAAACTACTGTCATATTGATAGCAATTCAGAAGCTCAATCTTTATATAGTCATATTATATGTATCTTTAATTCTGAGATTATAAAAGGCAAATTAATGAATGAATATGAGCCCCTCCCATGCCACTCTGTGCTGAGATGACCTTCACAGTTTCATTTCCCATGGATATGGTTAGCTTCAGCTAGTGGCAGGTAGGGGCCTTAAAGGTCATCTTTCCTTGTGACTACAGCAAAAACTTGGAAGCAGAAAGGTCAGCCCCAATATCTTGCCATTTTCTTTTTGACAGTCAGAGGCTTAAGTGAGAATCAAAAAGAAATCATTGTGACCAAACACAGAAACGAGACCACTGATAAAACTGTATTTATATTCATTCTCACACAAGCAGCAATAAATAAATACCTGGAGTTAATCAAAAGAATAAAGATGTTTGTTGTACTTTAAGGTAGTCTAAAATTTGTGGGAGGATTTCTTTAAAAAAAAAAAAAAACTTAATTGAAACATATCATCAGGATAAGATCTGTGACCACCTCCTACCCAAAATAGGAAAGGGAGATTTCAATGAGTCCTTTCTTCATTGTGTCCCTTAAGTAAGTCACACTTGGAGACTCATTTTGGTTGTTTCAATGTAAAACAAAATGAAATGGTGAGAGTTCAGATAATACAGAAATATTGGAATTTCTTAACATATTTTATGGGAGAATTCACAAAAGCTACCCATAGTGTTAAAAAAAAGAATTAAGTATCAGTGTTTAGATGATTTCCAGTGAAAGCAATTGGGTTTAGACAGTCCAGATGGGCTGAGTTCAAATGCGGGCTTTCCCTCTTAGGTAAGTTACTTAATATCTCCAGTTGTAAATTTCCCCATCTATATAATGGGTATAATATGTAATAATGTTTATAAATTCCTTGATACTTTTTCTTTCCTCCCTTCCTTGGTTCCACTTGCATGGTCTTCCTTAAACCATAAATGCCCTGTGCCAAGAAACCTTCCATTGAAATAAATTTCTCAGCAAAGTTTTCCAAACCTTAATATGATAATATCAATCCAAATGACACTAGAAAATATTCATTTAATCTTAGTAGCAACACATAAACTTCGCATGGCATAATGTTAAAAATTATTATATTTCATTTTATGATACACAGATGGTTCCTGACTTATGATAGTTTGACTTACAATTATTTGACTTTATGATGGTACGAAAGTGACATGCATTCAGTAGAAACTACACTTCAAGTACACATGCAACCATTCTGTTTTTCTTCAGTCTCGTAGTCAATAAATAAATTATATAAGATATTCAATACCTTATTCTAAAATACATTTTTTGTTAGATGATTTTGACCAACTGCAGGCTAATGTAAGTGTTCTGAGCAGGTTTAAGGTAGGCTAGGCTAAAGCTATGATGTTTTGTAAGTTAGGTGCATTAAATACATTTTTGACTTAATGATATTTTTAATTTAGAATGGGTTTATTGAGACATAACCTCATTGTAAGTCAAGGAGCATCTGTACTTGCTATATTTTTTAAAGAACAATTCATAAAAACATTTTTGATTTTTTTGTTAGTGTGGCCTGACATCTCTCTCAATTCACTGAAGCCACAACTTACTGTTTGAAAGAAAATTAACATATATGAAATGAATATTTTTAGAACATAAATTGAAATGAAATTCAAATGTTACAAACACTTATGCTTAAAAGAGACAAAAAAGTCTTATGCAAAAAAATAGTTTTTTAGGAGGTGAATTTCTAATAGGCCAATATTTTACATCTAGAACCTATATTTATACACCTGGTTTTCAAATCAAGTAGAAAAAAATTTAAAATTACTGCTTAGCTAAACTACACCAAGTCCTTTTTGGAACAAAAAAGGAGCATAAACTTTCAAATATACATGTTGCACATTGATATGCATGTTCCATTCTAGCCATCTAGTATTTTGTAAGCATAGGGCACCAGTTTCTTCCTATATGGCACTTGCAACCAAGACAAATCATCTGGTGGCATGTTGTCATTTGATTTTCAACCATATCCATTTTGTGTGCTACTGATAAAAGAGTGTGCTTGTATATCCACAACCTTAACAAAAGCCTTTTGTTTTTCAGAGGATTTCTTTTTATTGTGGTAAGAACATTTAGCTTGATATCTACTACCTTATAAAAGTATAAGTGCTCAATATGATATTGTTAACTATAGGCACAATGTTATACAGCAGATCTCTAGAATGTATGCATCTTTCATAAATGAAACTTTGTACCCCTTGAACAGCAACTGCTCCCGTTTTCTCTCCTCTCAACCCCTGACAACCACCATTCTACGCTCTGTTTTCATAACACTGACTATTTTAGGTACCTCATGTAAGTGGAATCATGCAGTCTTTCCTGTTCTGTGATGGTTTATCTCATTAAAGGATGTTTAGGAGTCACCTCATCGAAAAGAAACTACGTTACAGAAATTTCTATAAGCAGGAATTTATCACTCAAAGATCTTATCTTGGCTAGAAAAATGACAGTAAATTGTGTTTTATTTGACCATTTATATACTGTGCATGTGAATAGATATAATGTAATCGTAATGGAGATTATATATATTGTCTGTATATGTATAACGTTTTATAATCATAATTCCATTTTCTTTTGTATTATGCCATCATTTTTGTTGTGCAGTTCAATGCCATATTATTTTTCATTTCAACCACAGCTGCATCATTGCTGCTGCCAGACTCTCTGTTTTTTGGAGAAAATATACAATTTAAAATTGTTTTTTTTTCTTTTTTTTTATCAGAAAGGAAAGTCATCAAGAATTAGATTTTATTTTAGGAACAAAGTAAGGTTTCATGGGAGAAAAAAACAAAGCCTTGGTGTAGAGAAGGTTTGTTCATTTTCTATAGCATTACTGAAGTGTCCGTATGCCTTGATAAACCTATCAATGTTTGGATCATCTCAATGGGGGAAATGACTTAATTTAACTCTATTTTGGTGTCTCAGCAAAGGTAAGTTGTCTATTTTGAGAGCCTTGAGTTTTCTCTAACTGGGTCGTTTTATACTACTGCATTTGTGAATGAAACCCCAAAGTTTTCCCAGATAACTTGCTGCCTCAGTTTCCCTAAGTAGAAAAGGTGGGTGGGCCAGTGGGTGGAGGAGGAGGTGAGGGGAACTGGCCAGTTGTAGCAGAGCTGACTTCCGACCTATAACTTGTGTTCATAAAAATCTAGGCAAGAGGCAGGTCAATGGTAGATGGAGAAAGATTCGATTAAGCTGATGCTCTGTTATTTCATGTTCCCTAGTGTCTCTCTTTCAATGCCATCATGGAAGAATTGGGCATCTCACTCAAGAATCAGAAAAAAATAAAGAAAAAGTCAAGAACTAAGGGGAAATCTTCTTTCACAAGTATCCTTACTTGTCATCAGAGACGGACTCAGAGAAAAGAGACTGTGGCGTGATCCAAGAAAACACCTGTAGAAAGAAAAAGGATATGCTCACTAGAGATTTTTGGAGAAAGGAATGCTGATGAATGCGTGATGTGTTTCCATATATCTATATCCATAACTCTGATTATGTATACAGATATAAGAAATGCAAAAGTTTAAAAAGCTCACATAGATATTACACGGGAAGTGACACCAGTTCCTTTGACATGAATTTGTATGCTCACTTATTTTGCATTTTCTCTTTTGCCCCAATAAATTGCTGTGTGTGCTTTCTAAGTAATAATAAAACAACAGGGTTTTCTTTTTTCCAGAACAAGTTTGAGTCTTGATTTGTTCCCCATGACTTACTCCTGTTGACTAGGTGTGGGGTTGTGAAATGTTGTCAGTTGCGTGTTTACTGCTTTGAAGAATCTTCTTACTAGTTTAGTTTAGACAGGCAGAGTCATGTGGGACTGAGTTTTTTTTAAAAAATGACTTTTAGTTTATATCAAGTACCTAATTATTATAGCAGAGTGAAACCATTGATCTTTGTGTTCTAAAATCTAATTTTATAAAGAGTTTAAATGGTACTCAGAACATTATTGGGGTATATCATAAAAGGATGCTGAAAAGTAAAAGTCCATTTGAAAGGTAAGTTTCACGCTTTCTGGGAACCATTCTAGGTTCTGGGGATCCCATGATGAGGAAAACAGATAGGGTCCCTGTTCTCAGATAGTTTATTGGAAAAGAAAGAAGAAAAACAGTCTATTAATCAAAGCAGGATTATAATGTCCTGGGAGGAAATTAGAAGCTGAAAAACACACAGAAGTATTTAACCTGGGACTGAGTCAAGAAAGGATCCCTGCAGGAAAGAGCAGCTAAGGTGGGATCTGCGAGACGACTCAGACATAAGCAGGTAAGGGGAGGTGCATAAGATGGGGAAGACAAGCATCCCAGGCTGAGGAAGCAGCATATTCAAAGACATCAAAATGAGAGAGGATAGAGCCATATAGAGGAAAAGGGAGTTTGGTGCGATGGGCCTGACAGGTAGCAGTTGCTCTTGCTGAGGGTAGAAAAAGAATTGAAGGAAAGAAGACCAGGAGGAAAAAGAGAGGAAGGTCACATACACAGATATTGTAGCCTGACCCAGAGCAGAGGCAGAGAGACCACCAGGGACTCAGAAAGTGGTCACGAAGGAAGAGCAGAGTCGAGGGTTTGGGGAAGGGGATGGCTTAACTGGGGAATTCAGATGCCACTCATTGTGTTCAGAAACAAATGAAAGAAATAGGCATCAATGAATATTTCATATAATTAAATCCACCTGGTTTCTTTAGGATTATTCTATCATTCCAAGAAACTTTTAGCCTATTCCCTAGTGTTTAAGTACAAAAATATTTTCAGACATGGAAAAAAAAAAAGGAATGACCTTTAAAATGGCAGTAACATAGTGGACAGATATTCTGCTTGATTGTAATCAATATTCAAATTTCAGATCAATCAGAATTTTTATTGACAACAAATAGAAGAAAATGGCTCATAAAACTGCATTAAGATACTTACATTAAAAACTGACAGGTAGAAATATGATGAATCCAACTAGCTCAAGATAGTTTAGAATGATAATGTATTAGAGGGAGGAGATGCAAAGTTTAGGCATTTTGATAAAAATTGTACCCAAGGCATTTTGTTTTACATTTTTCAATACTTTTCTTTCATTTTTAAATTTTTTTCTCATTTTTCGAAAATATTATTCTACCTTTTCACACACTATTACAGTAATTTGTGAGAAAAGGAGTATATCAGCTTCTAATATCTTATAAAATATATTGTGTGTCAATCTGGTTTATAGATATTTTAAGATCCACTGACTTCTTTCCTTTTCCCTTACACATAACTGAATTCTCATTCAAAGGCATTT